ATGCACTTGACATTGATTTAAAAAAGGACTGAAAGGCAGCAGCAAACTTGAGTGCTACAAAAGCAGCCCTCCTTGAGTGAAAGGCCTCTCCTCGCCTGCAGACCCCAGGCCACGCCAGGGAGTGAACGGCTCTCCTGGTGAGAAGTCAGAGCCCTCCGGACTGCCTGGCATCCAAGGCTGAGTCACCAAAAGCAAAGGTGACGCAACTCAACTGCCTTATTCCTCATTGTAAAAGAAAGTATAACTTGTAACCTAGAAGCAGCAAGGAATCAACACACCCAGCACTTCAAAGAAACCAGCAATAAAAATAAACCAAAAGGCATGACTGTGACGCCTCCCGGCCTGAAGCGAAGCCCACAGTGCATCACCCAAAACGGATGAAAACCTAAAGTAGCCCAATCAGCACCACCAAGTGATTCCAAGGAACAAGGAGCAATAAAGGTCTCCCCCGGGAGAGAAGAGCACCGGCAGGCAGCACAGCCAGACGCTCAGACCAAACGACGGCAGAGCCTGCAGCTGGAGGCCCACCGCCGTTAAAGGGGAACCGCCGTCAGCGGCTGGGCGGGCTTGCTTCAGACCCGCTGTCCCCTCCCCAGGCAAGGCAGAACCTGAAGGCTGTGGTCCGTGCCACGCGTAATCCCAATCGGACACCTCAGACTAAACGTCACACTGAAGAACAGGAAGAGAGAACGAACACGACCGCCCCCCGCCAGCTGAGAAGGAAAACCTCCCCCCCAGCCACACCCCGTGAGCCCTACCTGAGTCTGCACTGGAGGGCCGGCCCCACCTCCCCCGCTGTGTGTGCGTGCCCGCCACACACCTCCGGACACGCGCACGCAGCCCTGACCACGCCTGTCCGCATCCACATCAGCAGGGTGGCCACAGCGGCTTCCCCTCCACAGCGACACATCTGCCGTGCGGACCCGCGTGTTCTACTGCGTCCCACTGTGTCCCCACGTACCGGTCACAGTCTGCCTGTCCCTGCTCCCACTGCCCGAGGTGCACTTTCCTCATCAAACACTTAACTGTTAACCAACATCCTAGAAATCGATCAGAACGTCTTCAACGACGACTCTCCTACCACCTGGACTACTGACGGTCTGACTGGGAACAACTCAGGAACCCAACCAAGAACAGCGACAGAACAGCAGTGGGGAAACCAGACTGACCAGGAGAGGCTCGGGGCCCTCCACGCCAGGCTGTGCCAGCACGATCCGTGGCGGCCCTCTGTACCCCAGACACGGCCCAGACCCTGCCCGCCCCCCGCACCAGACTCGGGAGTGCAGGCCTGACACCCGAGGCCGGAGGGGGCGAAGAGGACCAGGGCTGGCGAGGCTGGGGAAGCGCCTGGCCCCTCAGCCCGGGTGCTGGCTGACCACGCACAGGCTATGCACAGGCACATGGGGAGGAGGTGGACAGAACCCCTCCAAATTCTAGCAGAGCTGGCAAGTGGTCTGGTACGGACCCCGGTCCCTGCTGAAGGTTGTCACAGCACAACTGGGAGAAAACAGGCCGAAAAGAAGCCAGGGAAGCGGGAGCACTTGGAAATGCAGAAGCAAGAGACAGCCACTGACTGAGCAAAATCCCAGGGGCCACTCATCAAAAGCACAGCAGACCCCACCCAGCAGTGGGCAGGCCGCTTGCCAAAAACCCCAAGAAGCCACACGCTCCTCCGACACGTGAGAGAAGTGAGGGCGGGTGGGCATGAGTAAGGGAGGCAGCGGGATGAGCAAGCTCACACCCACGCCCCTCGGCTCTCCTGGGGGAGCAGGAAGGACCACCACCTGCTGGGACACCCCCCCAACCCTGCAGAGGACAGAAGAACAGCACAGTGGTCAGCACCACAGAGACAGCCTGAAGTCTGCCCTGGCCCCTGTGCAGCTCCGAGCGGGGCTGATGGGGGCCCAGGACCAGGAGGGGGCAGAACGGCGGGAAACCTTCTCAAGTGTCACTGCCACAAGCAGAAGAGAAGGCACGCGGCTGGTCCAAGGTCAGAGCCTCGGCCGACGGCAGGGAGGCGCCCGTGGCTGCTGTCAGGAGGAGGAACAGAGCCCCAGCGCATCTCACGAGGGGATCCAGGTAAGCTGGATGGAGGGAAGCCATGGGGCAGATGGAGTGACTGGAGGAGAGAGAAGTAGTGAGGAGCAGGGGTCTCTGCAAGGTAAAGGGAGGAGTGAGGGGAGAAAGGAGTCAAACAAGAGGAAGGCATCTGGGGTACACGGCAGAGCTTCCATCTCAGGCTGAAGCGCGTGCACAGCGCCAACATCCAGGACGTGGCTGCAGGGTGGGTTACTCACAGGGAAGAGCACCTGACATCTCTGCAGCCGAGAAAGGCCAACGACCCTGACATTAACTGCTGCACAAGTCACCAACAAAGATGTTCAAGTCATTCGCGCCTGCAGGAGGTGGGGAGAGGACTAGTGAACAGGGGAGGGAGCACAGGTGGGTGCTGAGATCACTGGCTGCCTGAAGGTTTGGCGTGACTGTCAAGCAAGCAAGCAAATGTCTCTGCAGGCGGTTCCTCATCACCCACGGCAATGGACAGAGGCTCACTAGGACGAAAAGGCAGAGAGCTCTGCAGGCTGGGGCCAGAGAGGCTAGAAGAGACGCAGCCCTCACACAAAGCCTCACCTTGGAATCTGGAGGAGGGGGATGGCTGCTCTTGTAAACACTGTGTACAGACACAGAAGCAAAGGAGATGATGGCTTAGTATCCAGAATATGCAAAGAGTGACAGCAAATCATTAAGAAAAATACAACCTAATAGAAAATGGGCAACAGACATGAACAGGTAATTCACAGTAAAACTCACAGTATGATGTGTGAAGAGTCTCAACCTTACTGGTAAGCTAAATCGAAAGACAGACAGACGTGGATAGATAATACAAGTATTCTTTATAAGAATATAATAATGAAGTGTGCATGAGGGTGCAGGAACACAGAACACTGATGTCATATGGGTGGAAGTATGTACTTCAGTGACAAATTTGCAGCATTTTATAAAACTGGAAATGTGCATGTCCTACTTCTCAAATGCTGCACTTCTGGGAAACTCCTGGAGGGGTTCTCACACGGGTCAGCAAGGAGACACTTACCAAATGTTTTCACTGCAGCGTAATACTTGTAGAGTAAAAGCTAAAAGTGACCTAAATGTCCATCAGCAGTGAGACGACAATCCAAACATGACATTTTCTTTGATGTAAGTTACTTAAGAGGAATCAAGCAGATCCACAGACAACTTGTAAGAATATACACAAGACTATGACAGTCATACGTCGTCCTGTATTAGCCATGTTGTTCATGTACATACACCTGTTAGCACAAAACACTAATGGACTGAAGAGCTTGGTTCCAGGTGAGATGGAGTAAATGCACCTGCCCTCTTCCTTCCTCTGAACACAGCTATAAATCCTGAACCAAATACAGGGAGCAGCTATGTTAGAGCCCTGAGAAGCCAACATTGGCAGGTGGACTGAGAAGAAGACCAGAATTATAAGAGCCACCAAACCAGCAATGAGTTTACCACTCAGCCCCCAAGTCCAAGAGAGGCAGTGACCCACGCAGAGACGGCACCAGGAGAAGACCTCCAGCCCAAGCTCAAGGCGTAGGAGAGGGACCTCTTGGCAGGGACCTCACAGGCAGTGGGAGTCCCCAGGTAACCAACTCCGTGAGGGGGACCTTCCTCCCCACCAGAAGGGCTGTGATCCGCCGTGCTCCCGCTTGCCCTGGACGTGGGCAGAGCCACAGACACAGGTGACACCTCAAGGCACACAAACCCCAGATTCCAGGAGAAGGACTGAAAGGGGAGCCCCGGGGAGCTCCCAAGTACCAAGATGTGTGGGGAGTTAAGAGTTCTGGAGAGGGACCCCACAAGGGCGTTTACAAGCTCCTGGCCTCAGCCCAAGCTACATCTGTGCAGACCTGATGGTAAACAGCACATCTAAGACTCTGGGGACCAAAGTGTCGACCATCACCCCAGTCTCAGTGACAGACATGAGAGGCAGACCCAATGTCACCGCAAAGGTTTTTTAAAAATGGGACTGATGTGGAAGCCACAAACAGTGCAGGCTGGTCAGAACTTGTGACTGAACCCATCCAGGCTGATCTCCTGCTGAAACAAAAACATCCACATTCCCCACAGGATTTGAACAAGACCCAGAGTCTCAAAACACAACATCCAAGTGTCCACGACGCAATCCAAGTTACCCAGCCTGTGAAGAAACAGGGAAAATCCCAACTCGTGTGGGTCAAGACAATCAAGACAAACCAAGGCCAAGACGACACAGATGTGAGACGTACCTGACAAAGACTTAAAGAAGCTGTTTCATAAAGCACTCCAAGAAGTCAAAGCAAACGCTCAACTTAAATGATGCAGGAGCAGAACCCTAAAACGGGTCACGACTTCCTGCCCTAACCCCCAGGACTGCACACATAACCCTCTGGCCGTGTTAAGCCACCCGGGCACGGCAGTGAGACCCTGCAGTGCAAGCCAGGTTACTCACCAGCTGGCTCTGAGTTAATCAAAGGGTGTTTGCTCAGTTATGCCAAATTTAAACCTGCAAGCCCGACAAGAGCAGAGTTTCCTCTGGCTGTAGCAGAAGGGGAGACCCAAGAATTTCCAGAGTCTAAGAAAGACTCAGTGAGCTGCTGTGACTTGAAGGTGGGGCGGGGTCCCTGGAGGCTGAACGTGGCCCCATCCGACAGCCAGCAAGCAAACAGGGACCTCAGTGCTACCAACGCAGCGAACGGGGTTCTTCCAGCACCTGGACACCCCCGGACGCAGATTCCAACACAGAGCCTCCTGAAGAGAGCCCCGGCTCCGGCCCTGCGAGACACGTCGGAGACCCTGATCAAGCCCGCTCAGACCTCTGGCCTACAGACCTTGCCGAGGGTGTTGTTTCAGCCACTGAGCTGTGGTAATTTGTTCCACAGCAGCAGAAAATGAGCACGGACTCTGGCGCCTGGAAGTGGGGTGCTGCCACAAGCACCTGTTTCATGACCACCGTGAAGTGCCTGGGACAGCATTTGGAACTCACCCACTGCCCTGAGGTGAGAACATTCCTTCTGTTTATATTATCTTCCTAAAATAGTACTGAAAAGACTGCATCCCTTAATTCTCCAGGAAATCTGTTTCTTCTATTTTTTAGGACGATAGCCAAATTAAGTGCATTTACTTGAAACAGAGGTCCAATCTGCAAATGCTAACTAACATGTAAATAAACATGAACTTTGAAACATTATCCACCGTACACTTTGAGTTTGGTGCACTGTCCCGGCTTCAGGTCTCCCAGAAGCTGCAGGATGGTGTCCAAGAGCACGCGGCTTGAGGTAACCAGGAACTCCCGGCCACATGCGACGGCAGCAACATCTGCAACAGGAAGAGAAAACGAAGCGTCAGGATCGCTGTCGCTTCAGCGCCTAGAAAAGCCTGTCCAAGGCAGAACGGCTGCTGCTGCTCCTCTCCTAACAGACCTAGTGAAACACAGACGGCCGACAAGGCGCTAAGCGGTGTCATCCACAGGGTGGGCAGCCCAGACGGAGTGACTGACAGTCACAACAGCTACGGAGACAGCGAGCAACGGCCTCTGTGATCAGCAAGTGCCCAGTGGTGGAACAGAGCCCTGGGTCTAATGTGTCCGCAGCCTGAGCACAGCACAGCAAGTGGGCGCCAGGCTGCAGAAGACTGGATTAACAGCTGTGAGCAGTCAGGGTCCAAGTGGAAGGTGAGGGCTGACTGCTTTATCTGGGACCAGGACACTAAAACCCACGTTCAACCCTGGGACTAAAATCCTAATGGCTTGAACCACAATACCAAACTGAAATCATGAGGTCAAAAGAGAGTATGAAAATTGATTCTAAAAAAAAAATTTTTTTCTGAATTGTGCATCCTATAGTGGGTCAACAGTATCACGTCTCTTCAGACCCGAGGCCCTGCAGACCAGCTGGAGACCAGACCCGGTCATTACACGGGCTTCCCAGGGAGCTGCAGCTAATGCTCCACCAACATTCCCAAGTACCTGGAAGGACACATCGGTGACCCAAAAACACTTATGTGTGTGCTGCTAAGACTCTTCTTAGCTAGCTCTATCAGTAATGCATGATTCAAAGTGACTAAAATCCCTAACACGAACGAGCCAGCCAGCGTGGGAGAGCAGCAGCAGCCTGGCTCCCCCCTGACTTCGACGGAAACGCGTCTCCGAACTCAGTTAACGTGATGTCTGATGGGGGTCCTGGCGGATGTCCTCTCTCGTTTAAGAAAGTGTTGTTCTATTTTTAGTTTACTAATAATTGTCCAGGAGGGAGGATGAATTTTATCACTTACCTGTTCTGCCTCTGATTAACTGTATCTGATGGTAGAATATAAAAGTTTTTTTAACATTTTTTATTGATTTATTGTCATTTTACAATGTTGTGTCAAATTCCAGTGTTCAGCACAATTTTTCAGTCATACTATAAAAGTTAACCTATGCAACCAGATCAACTTTCTAGACTCAGATCCTGGATATTCCTATTTATTTTTGTTTTTCTAAGCTGATGAGGATCAAAAGAGGTACATTAAAGTCTCTTAAACTTAACACTTCTTTTCCCATTTCTGCTTGTCTTCCCACCAAGTTTGCCTCGTAAATCAGTGCTATTTATCTGGTATATAATTTTATGACAGCTGTAACTTTGCTGAAGACGAACCCCTTCACTGACACCTCCTTTCTTCAGTGAATCTGAACCTGATGACTGTATTTCTATCACGTAAAACTCTACCTCTACTGAAGAAATATCTGGGGGGGGGGCAATGAAGCATTTGGCATCATAAGCTGAGAGATCATTTTAAGGTAGTTTTTGGGGGGAAAACATTTTTCATGTTAAGATACATACTGGAACCTTGCAGGAAAACTTACATTCCAGCCACATATTTTGGTAGATAGTTTCCAGAGACGACTTCCCAAGACGGTGCCTCTGCAGACCCTTGGGCTGTTCCTGCCCTAAGACTCAATGTGTAACTAGCAGAACACATCAGACCTGCTGCGTGACTTTCAAGGAAAGGTGGAGAGGAGCCTGACGGCTTCCCCCTTGGTCTCTTGCCACTTGCTCCAGGAGCCCTGGGTCGCTAGAAAAGCAATCGGACTCTCCCGAGGCTGCTGTGGTGCAGAGACCACAGGAAAAGCGCATGGTGGAGAAGCCCTAGGACCACAGAGGAGAGGATATCCACCAGCCCCTCGCTGTTCCATCCCTCAGCAATCTGGGTCACCCCAGCTGAGGCCCCAGACAGAGCAGAGCCACAGCAAATCATCCCTGCCAAGCCCTGAGCAAACTGCAGGTTTGCAAGCAAAATAAATGCCTGCTGTTTACAGATGAAGTTTGGGGCAGTTTGTTACATAGCAGTAGACAGTGGGAACATCACTAACACATCACTGAAGAAACACTACACAGCAAAGGCACATGGTATCAGAGCAGGCGCCAGCAACAAACACGACAAACTTACTGGGAGATGGAGCCCCGTACCATGTATCCAGTACTAGGACAGCAAATGCCAACCCTGCACTTCACTGACTGCCGATAACTGAAGAGCAAATTGTGAGGTGAAATAAATGTGAGTAAACTCTTACACTGATAACTCGAGTGTCTGTCAGACTGTCTGGGATGCTTACAAAAGTCAACCTTAGGACTAAAAATGACTGCTGGCTTAATTTTCTGTTAAAATGTACTTATTTTTTGTAGGCTCATTTTTCTTTGAAGTTTATAGATATTTCTAGAGGTTACCATAGTAATTATATAAGAAATGAAACTAGTGTGAATAATGTTTTCTGATAAAAAATATAAAGAATTGAAGTATAGTATGTCTGATATTTTTGCTTTAGTTTGTAATAACTTTGTCTTATTTTCAACAATAAGAAATAATAATAGGGTACTGGCATAATGACAGCCATATAGATCAATGGCAGGAATAAATACTCAAATTTATGACCAAATGATTTCCAAAAAGGTATCAAGGCAACTGAATGGAGAAAGGATAAAAGAAAAATCTTTTCAACAAATGGTGCTGGGACAACTGGATAGTTAGTTGCGTGCAAAGAAATGAAACTGGACCCCTACCTCACACCGTACATAAAGATTAACTCAAAGTGAATCAAAGACCAAAATGTGTGAGTTAAAGCTATAAAACCCTTAGAAAAAAACATAGGAGTAAATTTCATGTCCTTGAAGTAGACAATGGTTTCTTAGTTTTACAACAAAACACAAGCAACTAAAGAAAAACTATACTGGATGTCATCATAATTAAAACATTTGTGCTTCAAAGGACATTATCAAGAAAGTGAAAAGACAACCACAAAATGAGAGAACTTTTTGCAATCATGTATCTGACAAGGGACTGGTATCTAGAATATACAAAAAAACCCTTACAACTCAATAATAAAGAGATAAAGGACTTAATTTTACAACGGGCAAAGAGCTTGAATAGACATTTCTCCAAAGAAAATACACAAATGGCCAAAGAGCACATGAAAAGACGCTCAATATCATTAGCCATCAGGGACATGCAAATCAAAACCATGATGAGATACCACTTCATGCCCACTATGATGGCTATAGCCAAAAAAATAACTAAAAAGCACTGGTGGGAATGTAAAATGGTGAAGTCAATGTCAGAAAATGGTCTGACAGTTCCTCAAACGGTTAAAGCCATACTGTATGACCCAGCAAGCCCACTCCGAGCTGTATCCCCAAGAGAAATGAAAGCCTGTCCGTGCAAAAAACTCGTACACAAATGTTCACAGCATCATTAATCGTAATAACCAAAAAACAGAAACAACCCAAATGTCCATCGATTGATAAATGGATAAATGTGGTAGCCATACAACAGAAAGGAATGAAGCGCTGACACCCGCTATGACATAAATGCCTTGAAAACACTATGCTACGCGAACAAAGTAAACAAACAGCCCATCACAAAGGACCACGCTCTACGGGTCCACTATACGGAGTGTCAGGCACAGGAAAAATCCGGAGTCAAGAAGCAGGTTAGTGGCTGCCTGGAGCTAGGGAAACGGCAGGGCTGGGGAATGGCGGAGGCTGGCAGGCTTTCTTTTGAGGAGATGAAATGCTTTAAAACTGATCATGGAAAGCGATGCACAGCATATGTACTAACGCCATCAAATTATATACTTTAAATTGGCAAACTGTATGGTGTATTATTGTATCTCAATAAAGCTGTTAAGAAGGAGTAACTGTAGGGACACACAGCCCCGTTCACTGGGTTACTCAGTCTCTACTGCTCATCCTGGGCCTGTGTTCTATAAACCACTTATCTGTAGCGCTAATTCGCCATATTTTTTGAAATAAACATAAGCAAGTTTGCTCTATTAATACTATGACCCTGTTTTACTGTTTGGGTTCTTTCCTTTGCACGTGCAGTGGTACTTTCTTATCAAGTCAATCATTTAGCTGTCGGGGTGGGAGTAGGCCAAAGGCCATGGGTAATCTCAGTCTGGGAACTGCCTCTGTACACTATTTATGGAAAGCCCCCCTCAGAGCTGGAGGGAGTGCCCAGTCCCACTGGGAAGTGGCTTCTAGAATCCAGTTTCTCTCCTGGCTTCTGTGGTGAGAAGCCCGATCGGAGAGAAGCAGCCAGCGCCTGAGGGTCAGCTGGCAGGAATGAAGCAAGGCCCTCCGCCTGCTACTGTCAGTCTGCAGTGTCAGACAGGCTCCTGGGAGCCGTTCCCACACCGCTTACAATCTGCTGGCGTGTTCGCCCGTAAACCCTGCCTCGCCAGGTTAGATAAGTTTCCACTGCAGAATGAGCACACTTTGTGAGGACAGCCAGTCATAGAAAAATCACTGGCAAAGCCTATGGTGACACAGTTTCACTTCCAGCCAAACGCGCTGACCTCAGATCCACCAGGAAGGAAGCAGGAGTCCCCGCCTCCCCATGGCTCACCTGCGAGCAGAACTCCTGTTCTTGCCACTTGCTCAGAATCTCTCCCTCTACACTCAACTGCACTCTCAGGAAAGAAAGACTCCCAGCATCTTTCGTTTCTCCCAACCTGTAACTGTGGTTAACTGGATGCCGTGGATACCAGACACCAAACTGCCCTGAATTAGGAAGACCTCCACATGACTAGAAGCAACCATGCCCGGGGGCACAGAAGCCAGACCGCCTTCGGTGATCTCAAAATCTCTCTCCACAATCACCTCTGTTCTCCCAGAGTGTCACACACCACTCTGTCTCTGTGCATGGCAGGTGAAGGCCACGCTCTGGGGCACAGGTTCTCAAAGTAGCAAAGGAGGATCTTCTTGCCGCCAGCAGACATTTGGCAACATCTGGATTTGTTGTCACAGCTGGGGGTTGCCCCTGGCCTCTAGTGGGTAGAGTCCAGGCGTGTCTCTAAACCCCGACAACGCACAGAACACCCCTCCTGACAGAGAATTCTACTGCTGAGCTTGAGAAGCACTGCTCTAGGGACATGAACTCAACGACACAGCACTCATCAAAGACCCACCGCCTCACAGGGCCTGTCCCTTAACCCAGGAGGCAAGGCTCACTGCCTCCTTGTTTCAGAGCAACTGCCACTCAGCTAAATTCAATGGTTTTCAGGCCTTGTGCCAGGATCACCTAGAAGCCTGGTGGCACCACGCGCGGTACCATCCCAACTGCTAACCAAAAATACCCAGCACTTTCCCTCAAATCAATTATGAAATAGTACTACTTTCTCCTTCTGACGTAACAGTACGTCAGCAAAACACCCTCAGCCCAGCACCTGTTAGACTTGTCTGATGACAGAGAGCCTCGGTTATCTCTACAGTGCAAGTGTCCATGATGGGAGACAGCTTGCAGAGGACACGCCCCTTCCCAAGCCACCTTAGCGCTGTCCGCTGAGGGGTCTGATCCGTAAGGGAAAAGGGGCAACACTAGCTGGTCATGACCTCGACCAGGTCATGTCCTCCTAGGGCCTAGCTTATACTTGTCCCACATCTGTCCCTGAGTCCTAAATACTTCCATTCGGCTGTTGTCCTGAAAGCTGATTCGATGAATGATTCAGAGACAGAACCAAGATGAAATCACAGTGGTCAGTGCTCACACTGAAAATCAGCTCCCGCCCAGCCAGCCTCACCTTCCAGGAGGTCCGACCACAGTGCAAGGGTCCACACAGTCCCTGATGATCTCTCCTGGAGCTCAAACAACCAGCCACCTCCAGCGACCACAGAGATCCCCACACACAGAAAAGCTGGACCGTTCTGCAGCCCTGGGGAAAAGCAACTGCCAGAAGGTGAAGGTGGGCCACACGGAAAAGGGTCTAGTGGTTCCTCAAAGATTAAACACAGAGCTTCCCCGTGACCCAGCACTTCCACTGCCAAGCACACCCAGGGGCTGAGCACTCATGTTCACACGGAAACCTGCACACGAATGTTCACAGCAGCACTACCCCTAACAGCCAGAGAGCGGAAACACCCAAATGCCCAACCGCTGACTCTTCACTCCAGGCTTGGACTAGGTGACAGAAGCCTGGCTAAATGTCACGGCACAGATCTGGCAACTTACTCTCCCACACACAGACCCACCCACGTCCAGGGCTGGGACAGACGTTAACCATCATCTGGGGCCTAAGACTCTTTCCTCAGAAGTCTTTTCCTGAGGGTCACAGACTCAAGAACACAGGGCTGGTCAGTGGTGGAAGCAGAAGTGGACACTGGCCTCCATTCTCACATAGCCACCGCTCCCCATGTCAGGGAGCGTGCATGGAGGAGGGGGACGGGGAGCAGGAGAGAGCAGGGCGGGGAGCAGTGACACAAGGCCACTGACACGGAGCTGCTCTGCTATCAGCTCTGTGGGACTATCTCGTCCAAGAAAGATAAGCTGGATCCAGTCCTGCCGTGAATTATCAACAATCAGTCGTGTTGATTCTATGATCATCATCTAATATTGTTTGAATGAATGAACTCAGAATTAATGGGCAAGGAATGTAATTATGATTTTCAAATCACCAAAAAGCAGAAAAAGTAGTTAGAAAAATAGGTTTTCCACTCGCAAGCTAGGCAAGTTAATCTTCACAGGGCTGTGATAACAATTTGCCATCTTCTTTTAAGTTCCTTTTCGTCCACGTATAACAGTCACTGAAAACAATCGCACCTCTACGTCAAACAGTACCTTGCCCACATAACGTGCTGCCACCCCCCACAACTCAGTAACAGTCACAGCAGCGTGCCATGCGGCTACAGCAGGTATCACTACTCCACTCCGCAGATGAGGGAAGTCAAGTCCAGAGACTTTACATCCTGGGAAGTGGACTCTCTGGGCCTAAAAATCCAGACCTTTCATACCATATTAACCTATGATTAAGAACAGTGACTATGGATGAGTAAGAAATTTAACAACATCAATGTTTAAACAAATCCTTGACACCCAGGTTTTGCTTAGGATACAGGAAATGGAGCGAGCTATACCTCTATTCTTTAAAAGGGGCAGGGTAGATGATCTGAAAAAACACAACTCATCTTGAACACATCAGAGAGCTGAGGCTGAAGACTGACCAACTGACACGAAAAATAAGGAAAGGAGGTGCCACGAGCAGAGGTGTGAGGCAAGCACCTGCTGGCCGGGGGCAGACGCTGGGTGCCACACAGGCCAGCAAGAAAGATTCAGTCAAAAGGTACAACAAACCATCAGACGGGCGACTGCCTGGGCAGAGAGCGGGCAGAGGGGCTGACTGCAAAGGGAAGACAGTGGGAGAAGGGGAGAGGTGGGAGACATGATGGAGCCGCTCCACACCTTAACTGTGTGGTTACGTGACGATATGCATTTGACAAAACCTGCAGAACTGCAAAAAGGTGAGGGAAAAATTGTGATGGGTTAATTTATTGTGTGTAAATTTTTTTAAAAGAATCCTGTTTTAGAAGCAGAGGACCTGACAGCAACCGCGGTCTCTGTGGTAATGCCACCTCCCTGTGGACTGGAGTCTTGGCATCCGGACATGTGAGTCCCAGAGGCCTCTGGGGAGCAGCGCTTTAATAAACCACCACTGCGGGGTGCGATCGTCCCAGCGAATGCATCACGTGTAAGGGGGAAGTACAAGTGCCCACTTTCCGAGTCTTCAGGGGGTTCCCACGCGAGCCCCTCCGGGCGGGGAGAAAAAAGCCAAGCTGCGCTCGTACACTGGGCAGCAGGCTGGCCTTACCCGCTGGCCGCTGCCCCACCACTGCCCACCAGCTGGCCATGCAAGCAGCCCATATCCCCCAATTCAGCAGAATGAAAAATCACACACATCACAGACCTTTGAGGTCACCTGCAAATAGTAGAAAATTGAATCATCAAATTTGCAAATACCTTCTACTGAAAAAAAAAAGACCTTAAACAATTTTAAAAGGTAGAGCAATGGAAGCCTCCACCACTGAAGGTGCCACAGCGGAAGTACGGAAGGCCCTCCTGCAGAAGATCGACGTGCCAGCCAGGCTAAGCCAGGACCAGCCCAGGCACCACCTGGGTCTCAGCTTCTGCCCCAGAAGAACAGCGCCGATTTTTAAGGGATTAAGAAGAAACGGTCTACACGGGATCCACTTCATTAGGGTTTCAGCAGATGAAGGGCAACGCCACGAGGAAAAATAAAATTTCCTCTCTCCTTCACGGCAGAGTCAGCCCAAGAGCAGCACAGGACACAGCAGAGATGAAAGAGCTACGTAAAAACGACAGGCAGCCGCACGGAACAGCTTCACTGACTTCAGAACAGCGAGCCCGACGCTCCCCGCGCACGCCGCCTCCGGCTACGCTGGGACGGCAGCGTCACGTACTTGGCCACTTGCCTTTATCCTTTCAGCAGTTTTGCCAGAGAATTCTGTCTAACTATAACTATAATTTTGGGGGGAACTTCACGAAAGAGACAATTCAGGGTTTTGGAATTCTTTAATTACAGTACCAAAACAGCAGCAAGAGCTTCACTTCGGCTCAGCGTAAGGCTGTCACTTCAGCTAGACGGTACATGGGGATGGCTCCCGGTGATAAGTGGCTGAGCTTACAGCTCTGTCCTGACGCCGTCACGCAGGCGGAACAGAACACGCAGCCTCACCCACTGTTTCCCAGGAGGAGTCCTTCTCACTCACCGACACTGATCAGAATCCCCGGGGTGCTGCCCCACAACACACACTCCCGGTACCTCTCCCAGACCCGCTGAGTCAGACTCGCCAGGGCAGGAGCCGGCTTGACAGCGTTCCTGAGAGGAGCTCATGCGCACACACCCCCGACTGTGACCGCTGGTCTGCAGCACACTTCCGAAAGTCGCTACATTTGAAAAGAACTACTCACTTGTTACGATTCCAGCCAAAGCAAAAACAAACTGATTTTCGTCAGAATCCAGCTCCTTGACATCACCATCTAGTGACTTCACAAAACTCTCCATTGTTTGACCAGTGATGTTGAAAAACTTCAAAGCTTTATCCTGAAAGTTTAGAAATGAAAGTATTACACCCTTTCACAGATGCCAGTGGGAAAACACTTTCAAAGCACAGGACACAGGAGACAGACTTCAGTTCTAACCAAAGAAGCAATATTTTAAAATCCATTCCTTCATTGAAAGTTCCCATTGAAAAGATCAGAAGAAAGAAGTTTGGCGCATGTAGAAAAAGCACCCTGCAGACTGACAGAAAGAGTAAAATAAAAATACTTACAGGAAACAGCTCACATTTACACAATGACAGAAGTGCTGAGATGCATTCACCCAGATACACTAGACATACACTAGAAAAATATGTTCTCTGCTCTAGGCATGAACCCAGAGGTGTTCACACCTTTGGCAGAACTGTTTCTGAAACGAAGTCTTAACTGAAACCTCGATATGTAAAAGACTGTGAGCAGCCGCATCGGGCGGGTCAAGTGTTCATCCCTCGGCAAGAAGTATCTCCAAGTATGCAGAACCTTGAAAGCGCTTCCTTGGGGGGCTGGGTTCTAAGGAACAGTTTGAAAACCAATGCATTTGCAAATGGCACAATGGAACTTCATGGACTGACATAAATGTTCTAAGACTGGACTGTGATACAAATATTCTAAGACACAACTCTACAAGTTAGCTAAAAACCACTAAATTGTATAGTTATAAATGAATGAATTTTATGGTATGTTAGTTATACCTCAATAAAGGTCAATAAACTTTAAAACATATCTAGCGTCTCCACCATTTTTACTTCTGCGAGTGACAAGTAACGCACCACTGGCCTCCGGCCAACCACCTTACTCCCGGTCAGGCCCCCTGTCCTCCCAGAGTCAAAGCACCTTTCTTTTGGGTTCCTGTCGTCCTCTCGGCTGCAGAGGCCACTCAGCCACCATTCTGGCCTCAACCACACAGCTCTCCCACTTCCCGGCCCCCAGCGCCTGGGGTGCTGCCCGGTCCCCTGGGCTGGCCTCCCGAGTAGTCCTCCTGTCCCATCCCCACACCCACAGTGCCCACTCCTCACTTCCTGTCAGGTTAATCTCCCCACATTCTTCTCTTGTCCTGTCACTCTTTGACTCAAAACCCTTAAGGAATCCAGTCCTACCACCCGCTGGATAAAACCATCAACCTAGCATTAAGGGCTTCCAAAACTACACTGCACCCTACCTTTTAAGCCTCATCTCCCTACGACTTTACCACACTAACCCTGCACTCTTTGTCAAATGGCCCATGAACTGTCCCTAGAATAAACTCCAGACTTCTCACTCCACGACTTTGACTGCGCGGTTTCTCTCCTCCTGAGTGATCTTCCTCATTTTCTCCACTGCTGCCTATTCAAGTTCATCAAGGTTCATTTCAAATCTCTCTTCGTCAGTGAAGCTCCCTGACGTGTGTGTGCACGCATGCTATCAACATGTGTATGTTAAATAACACGTAACATTCAGTCAATTCAATACCACACTATCTATGGAATATGTATGTTTATGTATTAAATGCACCTAAATGTCAAGAAATAATACTGAAGTAGAGCTATCTGCACAAGTGCCACACTGATGCTGAGAGAGAATCTGGGATCTTACTGCATTCGGTTTACACATCCCCCAGAGCAGCAGGGCACAACCCTGCACGGCTGCTATTCCACAACGATTCCATGAGCACAAGCGGCAGCTGCAGCCGCGCGGTTACACGAGCACGGACCTATGACAGCCAGGCGGCGGGGCGCCTTACCCCCCCCAGGATGGCCTTGACCACCTCCTCGCTGCTGGACACGCCCCACAAGATGGTGCAGGCAGCCGCTCCCATCTCCGTGCAATACTCTGCCTGCTGCAGGAGCTGCTGCCTGGCTTCGTTCAGCTGCTGTCGAAGAGCCAGTTTCTCCTGAAAGCGAAACAAAATAAAATCAGAAAAATAAATAGCATTCAACCTCGAAATATCTCTACTGTGTTTCCTCTTTCCAAGATATTTTTAAAGAAAAGGAATACACACAGAATATAGAAAACGGTTGGTAAGTGAATACTAGCCCTTAGAGAGGCAAATTCCTTAATTTTTAAAAACTTCAGAGGCAAAAAGAACACTCATAGAAATGAACATAGTACTGCACTGGAGTTTATAAATATATAAATTAAATGCCAAAGACTTGAATTCAACTTCTTTCAAGTAAGACGAACAATGAGGCACCTCAGATCCCAATGGCTACACCCAGGACCAGCACCAGCTAGCACACCTGAAGGAAGTGATACCTACCAGAGCAACAGTTCTAATAAAGGAGCCTGCAGCCGCCAAGCGGCACTGCACTGTGAAAGCGCCACATGACAGCCAAGCCCAGGCAGGAAGACGGGAGCAGAGGCGGGGAGGGGGGAGAAGGAAGGGCCCCCCAGGCGTGCCCTGACGCAGCGAGCTAAGCACCAGCGTAACAAGAACACGGAGGCCAGATAAGACTTCTCAACCTCCCACCAGCAGCTTCTAAGAAGCAAGTCTCAGCCAGGGCTCCTGGCAAGGGAGCTGTCCTCCTGATGTCACCCTGACCAAGGGTCAGCTTCACGTGGGCCTCAGGTGACACGAGGCTTCTTACCCCTCCAAGCATCACCACCACCAGTTTCTCTCTTCCTTGCAACCTGAAGTTCCCTTAAAACATGAGAGAATTTCCTTACTTAACAACAGGTAAACTTAAAAACAGAAAAACCCAAACTCATTTATACAGGAGTGTAATTAGCTTAAGGGCCCACAGGGAGAGCCTATGCAATGTTTCAGGTGTCCTTTCACAGAGGTGAGCGCAGGACAATTACAGCAGAGGAGCTTTTCGCCGAGGGCTGGAAACGCAGCAGCGGACCACAGATCAAACTTTGCTGACTCCATGGCTCGGCCCAGGGTGGCCCATTCACACCCACCTGGGGACAGTGCATTTGGTACACAGAGCTTCATACACATTCATACATAGAGTCACATTTATTTTAGGAGAAAAATGTCACTGAGCCTATGACACATGCTAAAACTGCTTTATGTGATTTATAAACTCTGGGTTTTAATATCTGACTTCATCAGAATAGCAGCCTGGTTCCAAGACTCACTCTTCAGTCACTCAGGCAGTGGTGACATACGCAAAACTGTATCAGAGCATTTCCTTTCAGAATTCCAGCTTTTCTCAGAACTGAAGCGGGCTGTATTCCAATTAGTCTGTTTATGGCGGTTTTTCCACTAGATCACAGGACTGTTGAGAATGACCATCAGAACTGCCTTCTATGGTCATATTTGGCGGTTTCAGACAAACATGGCCTGACACAGGGCTGCACAAACAGCACAATAATATCAAGAGAAACTTAAAAAAAATTCCATAATATCAAAATTAAGAAAATACCTTGGAATAAATTTAAGAAAATTAGTTTAAGAAAATAATAAATAAAAATAATGCTTTACAGTAAAAACTATAAGCATTATTAAGAAAAAGATCCAAATACATGGAAAGATAACACCATGTTCAGGGACTGAAAGACTCAGTACTGGTAAGATGGCAACTCTCCCCAAATGGATCTATGGATTCAATACCATCTCTATCAAAATTTCAGCAGGTTTTTTGCACAAAAGTGATCATCTGATTCTAAAATTCACATGGAAATGAAAAAAAAAAAGCCTGAAAAAGAAAAACAATGTTAGAGGACTAAGGCCATCTATTTTCAAAAAGAACTTGTAATAAAGCTACAGGAATCAAACCAGTGCGGTACTGGCATGAGGATGGACACAGAGATCAATGAAACACCGACATTTATGGCAATCAATTTGAACAAAGTTGCCAAGGCAATCCAATGGAAAAAGTAATCTGTTCCACAAAAGATGCTAAAACAAAAACAAAAACAAAAACAAAAACAAAAACAAAAACAAAAACACGCTAAAATAACTAGATACTCAAATGTGGAAAAAAATCAACTCAAAAATCAATCACAGACCTACATGTAAAGTTTCTAGAAGAAAATCTCTGTCATCTTGGGTCAGGCAAATATTTATCAGATAGACAGCACAGCAAAACCACAACCCACTACAAAATTGTAAATTGAACATCAAAATTTAAAACTTTCTTTCTTCAAAAGACACCAATCAGAAAGTGGAAAGCCATGGACTAAAAGAAAATATTTCTATATCTCAAAAAGGACTTGCCTGCAGAATATATAAGGAACTCTTACAACTCAAAAAGAAAACAATCCAATTAAAAAGAGGCAAAAGAGCTAAATAAACACGTAACCAAAGAAAATACATGAATGGATAATAAACACATGAAAAGATGTTCAACAAAATTAGTTGTGAGGAAAATGCAAATTAAAACCACAAGGTACCACTGTAGCCACTATAATCTAAAAGACCAACAACATCAAGTGCTCACAAGAATACGGAGAAAGCAGAACCATCACACACCGCTGGGTGGAGTGCAGAATGTACACTCACTGTGGCACACAGCTAGTAGCTTCTCAGAAAGTTAACCATATACTTACCATACGACCCAGCAATTCTACTCCTAGGTATCTCCCCCAAGAAAAATTAAAAAACATGTCCACACAAAGACTTGTACACAAATGTTCATAGCATGACCATTTCATAATGGTCAAAAACTGGAAATAACCTAAATGTTCATCAGCTGGTAAACGGATAATGAAATGTGGTTTATCCATCCAATGGAGTATTACCCAGCAATGAAAAGGAACAGACAACCGATGTACGCTAACATGAACGAGCTTCCAAAACACTACACCAGACACAGAAGACTACACAGTGTACAGTTCCGTTTGTACAAAATATTCAAAAAAGGCAAATCTATAGAGACAGGAAGCAGATCAGTGGTTGCCTAAGGGCTGGGCAAGAGAACACGGACTAGCCGAAAACAGATACGTGATGGAAACGTTCTAAAAGTCGGCCAAGGAGGAAGGTACAGCCCAGTAGTAGGGCACATGCTTAGCATGCATGAGGTCCTGGGTTCAATCCCCAGTGTCTCCATTAAAATAAATAAATAAACCTACCTACCTGCCCCACAAAACAAGCAAACAAACAAAACCTACGAAGCAAACAAAAAAAATCAGACAAAATCCAGCATTGACTCATGATAAAAATTCTCAACAAACTAGAAACAGAGAACTTTCTCAATCTGATGAAAAGCATCTACAAAAACCTACAGCTAAAATCGTGTTTATGTTTATAGTGCGGGAGGCGCATAAGGGGCAGAGAGCGTACGGGAAACCCCTGTACTTGCCACTCAGTTTTGCTATAAACTTAAAACTTCTCTAAACAGCGCAGCCTGTCTTTTTTTAAATCAAACCTAATGGCTGAAGACTGAGATGAAGACCAAGGCAAGAATGTCTGCTCTCACCACTCTTATTTAACATAGTGCTGGAAGTTCCAAGCTGTGATAAGGCAAGAGAAAGAAAGAACAGCTACGCAGAGCATAAGGAAGAACAGAAGTGACCCTATATGCAGATGACATGATTGTCTATATT